TCCAAATCTTGACAAAACCCAACGAAAGTCGCCCAAAACCTCCAAAACTCCACGAAACCCCAAAAAAGCCGCGCCCGAAACGTCCAAATCTTGACGAAACCCAACGAAAGTCGCCCAAAACCTCCAAATCTTGACAAAACCCAACAAAAGTTGCCCAAAACCTCCAAAACTTGACAAAACCCAAGAAAGCCGCGCCCGAAACGTCCAAAACTTGACAAAACCCAACGAAAGCCGCCCAAAACCTCCAAAACTCGACAAAACCCAAAAAAGCCGCGCCCGAAACGCCCCAAAACTTGACGAAACCCAACGAACGTCGAGCGAAACCCTCCGAAAATCACAACAAACCCAAAGAACGCCCTAACCCTCGAAGGAACCGACCGCCACCGCACACGCGTGTCCCATGGAGAGCATGCCGGCGGCGGGCACGCCGACGAGCGGCGACGCGTGCCTGAGCATCGTGCACAGCCTGATGTGCCACCGGCAGGGCGGCGAGAGCGAGACGTTCGCCAAGCGCGCCATCGAGAGCTTGGTCAAGAAGTTGAAGGAGAAGAAGGACGAGCTGGACTCGCTCATCGCCGCCATCACCACCAACGGCGCCCACCCCAGCAAGTGCGTCACCATCCAGCGGACGCTGGACGGGCGGCTGCAGGTGGGCACGCGTGTTGCTGGCGTGTTGCTGGCGTGTTGCTGGCGTGTTGAGGGCGTGTTGTTGGGGGTTGGGGTGTTACGTGTTAGATGGCGCGTGTTGCACGCTGCATGGGGCGTGGGATGTGTTGCACGCGGCGTGGTGCAAGTTGCGTGGGACGTTGCGTGTCGCGTGTTGCGGGGGAAGTGGTGCGTGTTACAGGTTACATGCTACGTATCATGTTGCATGTTACATGTTACATGCGACATGTTACTCATTAGACGTTGCGTGTTACGTGCTGCATGTTGCGCATTACACGTTGCATGCTACATGTTACATATTACATGTTACATGTTACTTATTAGACATTACATGTTACACGTTACACATCACATATTCATGTGACATGCTACATATTACGTGTTACACGTTACATATTACATGTTACATATTACGTATTAGGCATTACACGTTACACGTTACATGTTACATGTTACACATCACATATTGCGTGTGACATGCTACATATTACGTGTTACATGTTACATATTACATGTTACATGTTACATGTTACATGCTACATATTACATATTACGTATTAGGCATTACATGTTACACATTACATGTTACACATCACATATTGCATGTGACATGCTACATATTACGTGTTACATGTTACATGTTACATATTACGTATTAGGCATTACATGTTACACAGTACATGTTACACATCACATATTGCATGTGACATGCTACATATTATGTGTTACATGTTACATATTACATGTTACATGTTACATATTATGTATTAGGCATTACATGTTACACACTACATGTTACATGCTACATCTTACACATCACATATTACGTGTGACATGCTACATATTACGCATTACATGTTACATATTACATGTTACATGTTACATATTACTTATTAGACATTACATGTTACACATTACATGTTACACATCACATATTGCATGTGGCATGCTACATATTACATGTTACACGTTACATATTACATGTTACATGTTACATGTTACATGTTACATATTACTTGTTACACATTACATGTTACATGTTACATATTACGTATTAGGCATTACATGTTACACACTACATGTTACATACTACATGTTACACATCACATATTGCATGTGACATGCTACATGTTACATATTACATGTTACATATTACATGTTACATGTTACATATTAGCCATTACATGTTACACGTTACACATTACATGTTACATGTTACACATCACATATTACATGTGACATGCTACATATTACGTGTTACACGTTACATATTACATGTTACACATTACAGATTACTCAGTACATGTTACATATTACATGGTACGTGTTACATAATACATATTACATGTGGCATGTTACACATTACATGTTACACGCCACATACTACATGTTACACGTTACACGGTACATATTACATGTTAAATGTTACATGTTACGTGTTACATGTTACCCCCTTTCACACACGTGTTTTCCCATGTAACACGTTTTCGTACGTAACACATGTTTCCGCATGTAACACGCGTGTTTTCCCATGCTCGCGGGTGTCGGGCCGCAAGGGCTTCCCGCACGTGATCTAGGCGTGTTTTCCCGTGTAACACACATGTTTTCCCCTCTCACACGCGTGTTTCCCACATGACAACAACTCCACCTGTTTTCTTCTCTCACACATGTGTTTTCCCATGTAACACGCGTGTTTTCCTGTGTAACAGACGTCTTTTCCCATGTAACACGCGTGTTTTCTTGTGTAACACGCATGTTTTGGCGTGTCCCCAGCAGGTGTCGGGCCGCAAGGCCTTTCCCCACGTGATCTATGCACGTTTTCCCGTGTAACACACACGTTTTCCCCTCTCACACGCGTGTTTCCCACATGACAACAACTCCATCTGTTTTCCTCTCTCACACGTGTTTTCCCATGTAACACGCGTGTTTTCCTGTGTAACATGTCTTTTCCCATGTAAGATGCGTGTTCCTCCGCTCCGGTCCCGTGTTTCTCACATGTCAACACGTGTTTCCTCATGTTTTCCTCTCTCACACGCGCGTTTTCCCGTGTAACACGCGTGTTTTGGCATGTCCCGCAGGTGGCGGGCCGCAAGGCCTTCCCCCACGTGACCTACGCGTGTTTTCCCATGTAACACACATGTTTTCCCATGTAACACACATGTTTTCCCATGTAACACGCGTGTTTTCCCATGTCCCGGCAGGTAGCAGGCCGCAAGGGCTTTCCCCACGTGATCTACGCACGTTTTCCCATGTAACACACGTGTTTTCCCATGTAACACACATGTTTTCCCATGTAACACACATGTTTTCCCATGTCCCGCAGGTAGCAGGCCGCAAGGCCTTTCCCTACGTGATCTACGCGCATTTTCCCATATAACACACATGTTTTCCCGTGTAACACACATGTTTTCCCATATAACAGACATGTTTTCCCCTGTAACAGATATGTTTTCCCATGCAACACACGTGTTCTCCCATGTAACACACGTGTTTTGGCATGTCCCCGGCAGGTAGCGGGCCGCAAGGGCTTTCCCCACGTGATCTACGCGTGTTCTCCCATGTAACACACATGTTTTCCTCTCTCACACGCGTGTTTCCCACATGACAACAACTCCACCTGTTTTCCTCTCTCACACACGTGTTTTCCCATGTAACACGCGTGTTGTCCCATGTAACACGCGTGTTTTCCCGTGTCCCGCAGGTGTCAGGCTGTAAGGCCTTTCCCCACGTGATCTAGGCGTGTTGTCCCGTGTAACACACATGTTTTCCTCTCTGACACGCGTGTTTCCCACATGACAACAACTCCACCTGTTTTCCTCTCTCACACGTGCATTTTCCCATGTAACACACATGTTTTCCCATGTAACACGCGCATTTTCCCGTGTAACACGCATGTTCTCCCATGTAACATGCGTGTTTTGGCATGTCCCGCAGGTAGCGGGCCGCAAGGGCTTTCCCCACGTGATCTACACATGTATTCCCATATAACACACATGTTCTCCCATGTAACACACATGTTTTCCCGTGTAACACACATGTATTCCCATATAACACACATGTTTTCCCATATAACACACATGTTTTCCCATGTAACACACATGTTTTCCCGTGTAACACACATGTTTTCCCATATAACACACGTTTTCCCATGCAACACACATGTTCTCCCATGTAACACACATGTTTTCCCATGTCCCGGCAGGTAGCAGGCCGCAAGGGCTTCCCCCACGTGATCTATGTGTGTTCTCCCGTGTAACACGTGTGTTTTCCCGCTCTGATCCTGTGTTTCTCACATGTCAACACGTGTTTCCTCATGTTTTCCTCTCTCACACGTGCATTTTCCCATGTAACACGCATGTTTTCTCATGTAACACACATGTTTTGGCATGTCCCCGGCAGGTGGCGGGCCGCAAGGGCTTTCCCCACGTGATCTACACATGTATTCCCATGTAACACACATGTTTTCCCATATAACACACATGTTTTCCCGTGTAACAGACATGTTTTCCCGTGCAACACACATGTTTTCCCATGTAACACACATGTTTTGGCATGTCCCCGGCAGGTGTCGGGCCGCAAGGGCTTCCTGCACGTGATCTACACGCATTTTCCCATATAACACACATGTTTTCCCATATAACACACATGTTTTCCCATGTAACACACATGTTCTCCCATATAACACACATGTTTTCCCCTGTAACACACGTTTTCCCATATAACACACATGTTCTCCCATATAACACACATGTTTTCCCATGTAACACACATGTTTTCCCATGTCCCGCAGGTAGCAGGCCGCAAGGGCTTTCCCTACGTGGTCTACGCGTGTTGTCCCGTGTAACACACATGTTTTCCCCTCTCACACGTGTATTTCCCACATGACAACAACTCCATCTGTTTTCCTCTCTCACACGCGCATTGTCCCATGTAACACACATGTTCTCCCATGTAACACGCGCATTTTCCCGTGTAACACGCATGTTCTCCCATGTAACACGCATGTTTTGGCATGTCCCGCAGGTAGCAGGCCGCAAGGGCTTTCCCCACGTGATCTACACATGTATTCCCATATAACACACATGTTTTCCCATGTAAGACACATGTTTTCCCATGTCCCACAGGTGGCGGGCCGCAAGGGCTTCTCCCACATGATCTACGCGTGTTCTCCCATGTAACACACATGTTTTCCCGTGTCTGCAGGTGGCGGGCCACAGGGGCTTCCCCCACATGATCTACGTGCGTTTTCCCCTGTAACACACATGTTTTCCCATGTAACACACACGTTTTCCCATGTAACACACACGTTTTCCCATATAACACACACGTTTTCCCATATAACACACACGTTTTCCCATATAACACACATGTTCTCCCATGTCCCGGCAGGTAGCGGGCCGCAAGGGATTTCCCCACATGATCTATGCGCGTTTTCCCCTGTAACACACATGTTTTCCCATATAACACACATGTTCTCCCATGTAACACACACGTTTTCCCATATAACACACATGTTCTCCCATGTAACACACATGTTTTCCCATATAACACACATGTTTTCCCATATAACACACATGTTCTCCCATATAACACACATGTTTTCCCATATAACACACATGTTTTCCCATATAACACACATGTATTCCCATGTAACACGCATGTTTTCCCATGTCCCGCAGGTGGCGGGATGCAAGGCCTTTCCCCACGTGATCTACGTGTGTTTTCCCATGTAACAGACATGTTTTCCCATGTAACACACATGTTTTCCCATATAACACACATGTTTTCCCATATAACACACATGTTTTCCCGTGTAACAGACATGTTTTCTCATGTAACACACATGTTTTGGCATGTTCCCCCGCAGGTAGCAGGCCGCAAGGCCTTTCCCCACATGATCTATGCGCGTTTTCCCATGTAACAGACATGTTTTCCCATATAACACACATGTTTTCCCCTGTAACACACGTTTTCCCATGTAACACACATGTTCTCCCATGTAACACACATGTTTTCCCATGTCCCGCAGGTAGCAGGCCGCAAGGGCTTCCCGCACGTGATCTACGCGCATTTTCCCATGTAACACACATGTTTTCTCATGTAACACACATGTTTTCCCCTGTAACAGATATGTTTTCCCATGTAACACACATGTTCTCCCATATAACACACATGTTTTCCCATATAACACACGTGTTTTCCCATATAACACACATGTTTTCCCATGTAACACGCATGTTTTCCCATGTCCCGCAGGTAGCAGGCCGCAAGGGCTTTCCCCACGTGATCTACGTGTGTTTTCCCATGTAACACACATGTTCTCCCATGTAACACACATGTTTTCCCATATAACACACATGTTCTCCCATATAACACACATGTTTTCCCGTGTAACAGACGTTTTCTCATGTAACACACATGTTTTGGCATGTTCCCCCGCAGGTAGCAGGCCGCAAGGCCTTTCCCCCACGTGATCTATGCGCGTTTTCCCCTGTAACACACATTTTCCCATGTAACACACATGTTTTCCCATGTAACACGCGCATTTTCCCGTGTAATGAACATGTTCTCCCATGTAACACGCGTGTTTTGGCATGTCCCCGGCAGGTAGCAGGCCGCAAGGGCTTTCCCCACGTGATCTACACATGTATTCCCATGTAACACACATGTTTTCCCATATAACACACGTTTTCCCCTGTAACAGATATGTTTTCCCATGTAACACACATGTTTTCCCATGTAACACACATGTTTTCCCATATAACACGCATGTTTTCCCATATAACACGCATGTTTTCCCATGTAACACGCGCATTTTCCCGTGTAATGAACATGTTTTCTCATGTAACACGCGTGTTTTCCCATGTCCGGCAGGTAGCAGGCCGCAAGGGCTTTCCCCACGTGATCTACACATGTTTTCCCATGTAACACACATGTTTTCCCATGTAACAGCCATGTTCTCCCATGTAACACACATGTTTTCCCATGTCCCCGGCAGGTCGCAGGCCGCAAGGGCTTCCCCCACATGATCTACGCGCGTTTTCCCATATAACACACATGTTTTCCCATATAACACATGTTTTCCCATATAACACACATGTTTTCCCGTGTAACACGCATGTTTTCCCGTGCAACACACGTGTTCTCCCATATAACACACATGTTTTCCCATGCAACACACATGTTCTCCCATGTAACACGCATGTTTTGGCGTGTCCCGCAGGTCGCAGGCCGCAAGGGCTTCCCCCACGTGATCTATGCGCGTTTTCCCCTGTAACACACATTTTCCCATGTAACACACATGTTTTCCCATGTAACACGCGCATTTTCTCGTGTAATGAACATGTTCTCCCATGTAACACGCGTGTTTTGGCGTGTCCCCGGCAGGTCGCAGGCCGCAAGGGCTTCCCGCACGTGATCTACGCGCGTTTTCCCATATAACACACATGTTTTCCCGTGTAACACGCGTGTTTTCCCGTGTAACACGCGTGTTTTCTCGTGTAACACACATGTTTTCCCATGTCCCGGCAGGTCGCGGGCCGCAAGGGCTTCCCGCACGTGATCTACGCGCGGCTCTGGCGCTGGCCGGACCTGCACAAGAACGAGCTGAAGCACGTCAAGTACTGCCAGTTCGCCTTCGACCTCAAGTGCGACAGCGTCTGCGTCAACCCCTACCACTACGAGCGCGTCGTCTCGCCCGGCATCGGTCAGCGCGCACGCGTGAACACGCGTGTGCCACGCGTGTGCGCGAAAAAACCCCAAAAAAACGCGTCAAAACAAGCGTTTCTTTCCGTTCAAAGCGTGTTTTGGCGCGTG